ACCGGTATGCCCCCTTACTCCCCCCCGGCCGGCTTCCAGCCGGGCTACCCCATGCCGGTGCCGCCGCCTCAGAACCAGCCCCCACCGATGCCCTTCTCCGTGCCCTCCCCCATCCCGCCACCCAAGGTTGTTCTCCCTCAGTTCCCACCGACGCCGGTGCCGCCGCCGCCGCCTCCAAATCTGGCCCCGCCACTCTGTCCGGCGCCTCCCGTTTCCGCTCCCGTTCCGGCACCTCTTCCGCCACCCGTTCTTCCTCCGGTTCCGGCTCCAGCTCCAGTTCCAGTTCCTCCTCCGGCTTCGGTGGTCCAGGTACCCATTCGCGATCATTGGGAATGTCATACCGTGTGCTTGATGATCATAGCTGACAGCCAACAGAAACTCAAAATTTTAGGGGGGCTTTTTCGGGACGCCTTGATTCCGTACTTGGCAAACAAACGTGTTTCTTCTCTCGGAGCAGACGCTTCCTCCCATGTCCTACGTTCCGTCGGCTGTGGCGCCGCCCAAAGCCCCGCCTCCTCCGTCCATGTCGGCCAATCCAGCGCAGAAAAGACGATTCACAGAAGAAGTGCCCGACGAGTGTGACAGTGGCCTGCTCGGCTATCAGGTGAGCAACCGCTACAACGCGGCAATCGTTTTCTACATCCGCCTTGCCTTGCCTTTTAACACACCATCATCATCATCAGCTGTACGCAAGTCTGCTGACTTCATGCTAAAATGCATGGGAAACACCATCGATGGGCTAACAAAAATTAGCATCGCTATTAGCTTAGCATATACAGAACTAATATACAAATAGAACGTCCAATAATGCATTCAAGCATATCTCATCCCCCACACTGTGGGAACAATTAAAACACTTGAAATTTTGCTTTAGTTTTGTTTCCTTTTTAATCATGTTGGTGTGTGAAGCTTTTCTATGTGCTAAGTGGGGGGAAAAAAAATTCTGTGATAGGCTGAAAAGTGTCGAAAAATTGTGACCCAGGAAAAGTTGGTCAGACACCTGGTCAGAAATAAGAGAAGGAAAAAACTAAAAAGTGACACTTGATGCTGTGGCCAGTAGAGTCAAGTTGAGGATGTCTGCTAATGGCGCCTGTGTGTCTTTCTGCTCATAGCATGGACCCATTCATATGACTAATTTAGGTGCAGGCTTCTCCGCGGGCAGCCCCGAGACTGCAGGACCCCCACCTTCGAGTTCCTCTGGCCCGACGAGTGCGAGGGACAGGTACACAGAGTTTAGTTGGAAATCATTTCCCCTACACTTACTTGACTTCCTTTTTTTTTAATATATGTGTGTATATATATATATATATATCTGTTGTTTTTTTTCTCATATTACCAGAAACACTATTATTTTAAGGAACATGCTTGATTTCTTTCTTCACTCACAATATGCCACTATCTTCAACAGGTGTATGATTGTAACGTTACAATTTTGCTTTGCCCAACATCGGAACATTGTTGTTGTTTTTATCTCATCACTATAAATGGCTAAGTGTTGGTTGGCTTGTTTCTTCAGTAGGCAGCTAATGCCTCCACCGCTGTTGCCCGTAAATGGTGTGAGACCCAAGATGGAGGAGAGGAGGCCACCGCAAGGCCCCGTGGGTAAGTCCAGTACGTCACATTGAGAAATCCCGTCCAAGTCCGCTCTCTGCAGAAGTGGAGTGTGCCCTCCAACCACAGTTTTAGCAGGAATCCACATAGACTTAAAACTAAAAATGTCTCCTATAGCTGAGCTGAGGCAGGGTTGATGCGTTTCCATGACTCTTCCAGGATTCTGTAGCAGCGACTAAAAAAAACGGCAAATAGTTGGAGCCTTTTATCCAGTGTCTTGTCCCGTTCTGATGACATCATCATGCGTGTGTAGCGTTGGCCTCCCTCACTAACGAGAGTCTCTCCTGTTTTTGTGTTTTCTCTTTTTTTCCTGTTTTTCCTCTCTTCCATGTCATCCCTGGGGGGCTGGGGGGGGGGGCTGATGACGACTTGTCACGTGCCGCCATCCTGACGCTCCATTGGATGCCCCCCCCACTGACCAATGGCGGTTGCGGGATGGCCCTCCCATCCTCCGCCAAACTAATCTTTTTCTTCCAATGTGGATTGTGTTGAATTGCTGCTGCAATGTTTTGTTGTTGTTGGGGTTTTTTTCTTGTCTCCCCCCTCCTCCAAATGTGCATCCTCCCCTCCTCCTTTTAGCAGAGCCGACTGGGAAGAGGCTAAAAACGGGCTTGGTCGCGTACGCCGGCGACTCCTCCGACGAAGAGGAAGACCACCCGAGCTCCAAAGCCTCGGGGTCAGGTAACCCCGCGGGCTCTCCTTCTACCTCCTTAGACTGGATCCAGGGGTACCGCTGCCCGCCGCCGCCGCCCCCCCGGGCGAAAACGCAGCCGCAGCAGCAGTCTATGCCTTTCTGGATGGCACCCTGAAAGTTCGACAGCAGTTCTACGCGGATGACTCGTAGCTTTGGTTTAGTTCAAGTAAGCATATTTTGTGTTTTCTACACACATGTACAGTGTAAAGATGATCCTTTTTCCGAGTGACACTTTGCAAAGCCGTGGATGTTGGAAAGGTGACATCAGCAATGCCAGTTTGAATTTTGAAAAAAATGTGAATATCTGAATAGATTCTTTGTGGAAACAATAAAAAATGATGATCGGCTTTAATTTCATCCTTCTTCAGTCCTGGACACACCATGTTGTTTTGTTTTTGTCGCAATTGTTTTGGACTAATGTGTAGTAATTTAAATGTTGCTTTTTGGAAATAAAGTGGTGTAAATTATAATACTGTATTTTTTTTTTCTTCAACAAAATCTCAGTTTGAGATAAAAGGATTGAAAAAATATGCTTTTCATCGTTTAGTGAGATAAACTACCGGTAATCATTTTGCACCGGTCTAGTTTATTAGAATAAATAGCAAACAGTTTATAAGAGTCATAATTTAGTCCATTTCATATTTTTTCCACCAATCAATATGAAAGCACTTGTGTGTTCATTTTTACAAATTATTGACCAAATAATAGGTGTTGCACTCTGCAATGCTAATGGCTAAACAGACATGCTATTGCTGTAGACTGTAAATTTCCCCAATGTGGGACAAATAAAGGATATCTTATCGGGGTTTCCTGCAAAGTGATGATTTGGAGGGTACAAAGTTTCCGTCGGCTGCCAGCAACATGTACTTTTACACTCCGCCTACAGTCGACGCCCTTAATTCACGGGAATAGGGGCGGAGCCGGCTCACAAAAAGCAAAAATCCATATGTAATTGATGGAACTTTTTTTTTTCAGTATTCAAAAGAAATGTCTGAATTAATGACTGCCAAGACGCAAGTACGTGGTGGTCTGCTGTACTTGTTTTCAGGTCATTTCAATGACTGTCTGCCTTGGCGTATTTTTCTTGTTGTACTGAGCGATGCGAGCCTCCATTTCTGGACGGAAATGGCGTATGAGTCCCTGTGAAGGACAAAATGCGCAATGAAGGCTCCCACCCACCGTTTCTGACTCACTCTTACGCAGTGTTAGGCTCACCTGCACGGGCCAGGCCGCTCCGTCCCCCAGCGCACAGATGGTATGCCCTTCGATCTGTTTGCTCAGCTCCCAGATCATGTCGATCTCGGAAACGGCCGCCTCTCCTCTCACAAATCTCCACATTATTGCGTTCATCCAGTCTACCCCTGAAAAGAATTTCACAAAGTTTCAACAAAAGAGGTGGGCCCAGGATTTTTTTCCCCCTCTATTGGGATGAAGTGGGGCAAGGGGGAGCTTGACTGACACACGGGCTATGGGGGCTTAGAAAGTAATTGAGGAATATATGATAGAAATACAATGCTGGAGTGGCTTCCCTGAGCCGACGTCTATTTCTGTCAGCCCCTTTGCTGCGGAGTGCGGCCATCCCTGAAAAGTGCCAATACCAGTGGCCTTTTCAGATGGAGACGAGGGCTGCAATGAACCGTTATTTTAAAAGGTTTTTGGGGGGGGTTAATCATATTTAATTTAAAAAATAATAATAAATTCCACCGATAAGTAATTCGGGTTCTGTTACTGGTTTGATGCGCAACATGCCGAAAATAGGGAAAAATGTTCAGCACTGTTTTCCACAATAAGTGATTTTCGATCATCAGTGCTTTCAAGACATTTTTTTATTTTACTGTTGCAAAGCTGAAATTTGAAGGATTTGGCCAATTTTAAGTTGATCATTTTGATAACTAATAAGTTGTTGATTAATTGCTGTGCAATTAATGGAGACTACACGATACTACTTTTATGTTTTAGATGTATATTATTTCCTGTAATAATGTTCGTGTTGCACACCGCAATGATACAATGATTTCCGCAATGATTGCGGAAAACCCGGGAAGACAAGGCCTGACTAAATGAAGCTCCCTTAAAATCGATCCGTAGCCACCACACGGCGCTGGAGCAATGTTTTCATAATAGACACGGTTGTTTTTATTTTATTTATTTTTTTGAGATGCTCACCCTCTCTGCACGGTGTGCACTGGCCGCAGCTCTCATGTTTGTAGAACTCAATCAAACGCGCGATGGCTCGAATGACGTCGGTCTGCAAGGACAAATCAAACGCGTGACGCCAGATCCCCAAAAAATCATTTCTCACAGTCCAGTTTTCTTCTCGACCGTTTACCTACAGACTTATCCATGACAATGACAGCGGCTGTGCCCAGGGCGCTTTCCGCACGCACCAGGTCGTCGAAATCCATCAACACGTCATCGCACACGTGCCGAGGGATGATGGGAGTGGAGGACCCACCGGGGATCACCCCTAATAGATTGTCCCAACCACCCCTCACTCCTCCTGTCACAGCACACACACACACACACACACACACACACACACACACACACACACACACACACACCCCGAGCAAACTGGGGGGGGAGAGCGGC